CAGTTTAAGAAACCATTGTAGCCCTCAAGTCAAAAAGTTTGCCCACCCCTGGGTTAGGGGCAATCAGGCTGGCAGGCAGAGGAGGTTAGGGGCGATCAGGCAGGCAGGTAGGTGAGCGGTTAGGAGCTAGCGGTCCCAGATTGCAAGAGGGATGTCCTACTGCCGGTTTAGGCCCAACCCTGTGGTATCGGGCCTTAACCGGCAGTCAGACATCCCTCAATTGGTCCCTGATTGGAGAGGGTGCAGACTGGGCTGATGGACCCCCCTCTCCTCATGCATGAATTTCATGCACCAGGCCACTAGTATAATTATAAGTTAAGTGTATCTTTAGAAATACATTTCTAGTAGAATGCTAGGTCAAAGGAGATGTACATGTAAATTGTGATTGATAGTATCAATGTTTTTACCTTTTTACATGTTAAGCAGATTTTTAGAGTTGAGACTGCTAAAGAAACAAACAATGGTGAAGACACAGCTACCTTCTCTATACTAAAACATTTATTTTAAACAAAATTTCCACTAGATGGAGATGTTTAGCTATCAGAAAATTTAAATAATTTCTGTCTTATAGAATGTTGTTATAATAAAACTAGAGGCCCAATGCACAAATTTTGTGCAAGAGTAAGCCTTCCTTCCCCTGGCTGTTGGCACCGGCTTCCCTCTGGCCAAGGGAAAATTATATTAAATTAGAATTTTAATTAAAATTCTGTATCACAAGGTTCCAAACAAAATGTACCCGATGACATTTGTGAATGAAAGAAAACACTGAAATCCAATATAGGATGCCTCATGAGCAATATGTAAATCTTGAAAAGTTAATAGGACCCCTTTCTTGAATGTACATACCCACATTTCTTCGTATTTTTTTATTTTATTTTTTAATCTTCACACAAGGATATTTTTTTCATTGATTTTTAGAGGTGGGAAGGAGGGGGAGAAACATTGATGTAAGAGAGACACATCAGTTGGTTGCCTCCTGCACACACCCTGACCAGGACCGGGTATGGAGCCCTCAACCGAGGTACGTGCCCTTGACCTAACCCAGGACTCTTCAGTTCGTAGGCTGACGCTCTGTCCACTGAGCCAAACCAGCTAGTGTTCTTTCTTCCTTTTTTTTTTTTTAAACCCTCACTGGAGGATATGTTTTTTTGATTTGAGAGAGAGGGGAGGGGAGAAAGAGAGAGAAACATCAATGTGAGAGAAACATTGACTGGTTGTCTCTTGTACGTGCCCTGATCAGGGATTGAACCCGAAACCCAGGAATGTGCCCCAACCAGGAATCGACGCTCCAACCAACAGAGCCACCGGCCAGGGCACACCCATAATTCTCAGGTTTTAGGAAAGAGAGAAGTTGGGACTGAAGTTAAGTGGACCTTGGTAGAAGTGAATGTGTTGCTGAGACTCAGACACTGTGTGTGAAGTCAGCTTATCAGCTACCTTTCCTTGTTTACCAGTTGGGAGGATTGACTTGGTTAACAGTAGACAGACCAGAGAGAGGTGGGAAAAGAGTATCTTGAAGTCAGCATTTTAGTGGCTGAACAGAATCCAGACCTGCCCTCCCCGCCAAAAAAACAAGAACAAGAACAAAAACAAAAACAGAGAGGCCAGTAAATCCTACGCTTTCTGCTGATAGGATTATCGTCCTGTCCTGAGGTGTGAAAGCCCAAGTCTACACACCCACACACACTCCAACAACAGACATGCACATCCCTGGGATTTCTTTTTTCTTTTTTGTAACAGATCCATTGAGTTATAATCCACATGCCATATAATTCATCCACTTAAAGAACACATTCAGTAGTTTTTAGTATGGTCACAGAGTTGTACAACCACCAGTACATCAACATGTGAATTGTCTTTTACCTTCGAGTTTTCAGTTAATGTGCTTTGCCTTTTTCTTTTTGGTTTTCCTATCTGTTGTATTTATGGTAAAGTTTTTCTTCCGATGGTTGCTTTTTCTTTATAAAAATTATTTTTATATAGGTATTTTGAGTGTTTTATCTAATTTGCATACTTTTTTCTATTAGCATTTTGTGGATAGTTCTTCCTTGCTGAGTTACCAGTTAAATGAATATTTCCTCCTAGTATTTTATTGTTCACATTTAAGTAATTCATTTGCAGTGCATTTTGGTTTTGTTTGTATGTAGCACCAGGTCTGAGTTTTATTCTTTTGACAAGTAGGCAATATTTCTAGAAACTTCTGTAGATTACCTTTTCCTATTAGGTGGCAGCATTTCATTTTTCATAAATTTAAAAAATATTTTTGTTTTTTTATTTTATTTAAAAGTTGACTGTGTTCTGATACATTAACTTTTCTTAAATTTTAGAACAAGGAAAATTTATCTTCCATTATTACTGACCTCAACATAATAATGGAGTCCACCGCATATTCAGAATTAAGTGAATTTGTATCTAGGTAAGATAATTTATAAATTTATTTTTTTACGGATTGTTTTCACTCTATAGTTTTGAGTTTACCTTTTCTCCCTTCTTGATTGATAAATATCAAAATATATCTGAAAGTATGACACCATTTTTATGGGTTATATTTAAGCCTATATTCTTTATAGCTATTCTTTCATTCAATAAAAATTTATTATGCATTTACTCTGTGCTAGGCATTAAAATTAAATTCTGAGCAAAACCAGATATAAGCCTTAATCCTCATGGAATTTGTAGCCTAGGGAAAGGGCAGTTGGGGGTGACCAGGCCAGCAGGGGAGGGCAGTTGGGGGGGACCAGGCCTGAAGGGGAGGGCAGTTGGGGGCCATTGGGCTGGCAGGGGAGCAGTTAGGTTTCGATCAGGCTGGCAGAGGAGTGGTTAGGGGGTGATCAGGCTGGCAAGCAGAAGTGGTTAGGGGCAATTAGGCAGGCAGGCGAGCGGTTGGAAGCCAGCAGTCCCGGATTGCAAGAGGGATGTCCGACTGTCGGTTTAGGCCCGATCCCTGTGGCCCCCACTGGGGGGCTTGACCAGTCACCACAGCAGAGACCCCAACCTTGAAGGGGTGTGGCCAGCCTGGCTGGCCCTCAGCCCCTCACCCAGGCTGGCCATACTCCCATGGGGTGAGGGTCCCCGGTGAGGGGCTTGGCCAGCCTGCAAACAGCCATCAGCATCTCACCCAGGCTGGCCAGGCACCCCACCAGGATCCCCCTCCCTGAATGGGGTGTGGCCAGTCTGAAAACAGCCCTCAGCCCCTCACCCAGGCTGGCCAGGCACCATAGCGGGGACCCTACATGGCCAGCCTAAAATGGCCCTAAGCCCTTCACCCAGACTGGTGAGGGACCCCAACAGCAGGGACCCCAACCTTGAAGAGGGTGTGGCCAGCCTGAAAACAGCCATCAGCCCCTCACCTGCAAACGGCCCTCAGCCCCTCACCCAGGCTGGCCAGGCACCATAGCGGGGACCCTAACCTTAAAGGGGGTGTGGCCAGCCTGAAAACAGCCCTCAGCCCCTCACCCTGTGGGATCAGGCCTAAATCGGTAGTTGGACATACCCCGAGAAGTCCTAGATTTTAGAGGATGCAGGTTGGGCTGAGGGCCCCGCCCCCCCTCCCCCGTGCACGAATTTCGTGCACCGGGCCTCTAGTAGTAAATAATGCTGCAGTGAACATAAGGGTGCATATATCCTTGTGAATAATTTTTTTCAAATTCTTCAGGTAGATACCCAGAAGAGGGGTTCCTGGGTCATATGGTAACTCTGCTCTTAATATCTGAGGAACCTCCATACTGATCAGCATAGCTCTCTTTAGTCTCGGTGGATCTTCCCTGTGCCTGGCTGAGGCCACAGGAAAAGATCCCAAGGCAAGCTGAGCCTTTATTTTATAGTGAGAGGTAAACAAGGTAGTGGTTTCCATAGTTACACAGTTCTTGTGAGTTTCACTTGTTTTGGCCACTTTCTGCCCTTCCCTCAGCCCAGGGGTGGGCAAACTTTTTGACTCGAGGGCCACAATGGGTTCTTAAATGGACCTGAGGGCCAGAACAAAAGCATGGATGGAGTGTTTGTGTGAACTAATATAAATTCAAAGTAAACATCATTACATAAAAGGGTACGGTCTTTTTTTTTTTAGTTTTATTCATTTCAAAACTGCTGCCCCTCCTCCCCCGCCCCCGCTGCTTGCCCACGGCTGCCTCAGCCCATTAGCTTCCCAGATAAGATCTAGAGAGCCTCATAAAGTCAAGCCTAATTATGCTAAGAGGACTGTGCCCTCTAAGCTGGGAATTGTTTGTGACTTTGCCAACTGGTCAGTCCGAGGCTTAACCCTATATCAGCTGCCCACAATCAGTGTTTCTATCTCTCTCTCTTTCACTACACCTCCCTATAAAAATCAATAAAAACATATTTAAAAATTATTTTCCCATATACAAGTGGGTTTGTTTCTGTCCTCTCAGTTCTGTTCCATTGGTCTTTGTATCTGTTTTTCTCCCAATACCATTCTTTTTTATGATTGTTGCTTTGAATTATAGCATGAAGACAGAGTGTGTGACACCTCCAGCTTAATTTTCTTTTCTTGGGGTTACTTTGGCAATTTGGGATCCTTTATGTTTCTATCCAAATCTGATGATTTTTCTTCTATTTCTTTTAAAAAACAACATTGGGATTTTGATGGTGATTGCATTAAGTCTGTATATTACTTTGGGTAATAAGGCTATTTAAACAGTGTTGGTTATCCCAATTTGTAAACATGGAATATCTTCCCATTTCTTTGTGTCTTTTTAAATCTCTTTTAGTAATACCTTGTAGTTGTCAGTATATAGGTCCTTCACATTCTTTAAGTTTGTTCCTGGGTATTTTATACTTTTTGTTATAATTACAAATATAATTATTTTTTTCATTCCCCCCCACCCCCATGAAATTTAATTGTTAGTAAATGGAAATGTAATGGATTTTTGTACATTGATTTTTTTATACTGCTACTTTATTGTATTTCTTTATTGTTTCTAATAGTGTTTTTGGTGGAGTCTTTAGGGTTTTCTGTATACAGAATCATACCATTTGCAAAAAGTGACACTTTTCCTTCTTCTTTCCCAGTTTGGATGCCTTTTATTTTTTTTGCCTGATTGCTCTGGCTAGGACTTCCAGAACTATCTACACTAATAAAATTAACCATCATTCTATTACCCCGCCACTCTGCTACACCCACAAGCCACGCCCACCAGCCAGTCAGGAGCGAGTATGCAAATTAACCCAACTAAGATAGCGGTGGCCATAGAGCTGGAGCAAGCAGGAGACTTGGGTTGCCCCCGGTGATGAAGGAAGCCAAGCTTCCCCCCTGCCTTGGCGGCACTGGGCTTAGCTCAAGGCTACAAAGTTTCAATTATAGAAGATAAATAAATCCCAGATACCTGCTTCCACCCACCTTGGCTGGTCTGGTGCTAGTGCATGTCAAAACGTGGTCGTCCAGAAGGTCGTTCTGCTGTTCGGTCATTTGATGCATATTATACTTTTACTAGAGGCCCGTTTGCAGGAAGATTCCTGCAAGAATAGCGCTTCGCTCATGTCTCTGCCACTCCTACCCCGCCCTCTCTGCCGCTTCTCTCCCACCCGTCTCTGCCGCTTCTCTCCTGCCCGTCTCCATTACCTCGGCTCCATTGCTTGGCTTCCTTCTACAGTGTCTTCAATCGTCGCCCCCAGCTGGTATATGCAAATTAGCCCCATCTTTATTGGTGGTTAATTTGCATATCGCTCTGATTAGCCAATGGTGGGCATAGTGAAGGTACAGTCAATTTGCATCTTTGTCTATTATTAAATAGGACTAGTAGCCTGGTGCTATTGAGGAAAAAAAGTGATATTACAAAACAGAAGACACGAACAGTGTCTTATCACCTGCAGGCATCCATTAAAAGACCTATTTAAGGATTTATTTGAGGAAGAAGACATACTAATTCGGAGGAATGGTGTGGGACAAAGGAAACAGAGCACTAATGGGAAAACACACTGTATGCCATTCTCCAGACACCCCTGAGTGGCCATAAGCACTGACGGGCCTCCTTCATAATCAGAGGAAAACGGAGGGAGATAAAGGACAGGCAGCGTCACACTCACCAGGTTGGAGAAAATGAAAAAGTGCAATAAAACA